ACTGAATTTAGGGGAAGAACCGCAAAAATAGAAACATTCTGGACTGAAGCTGTTGGATTTGGCAACCTCTGCTGTATGAGTGGGCTTTATTAGTTTAGATTCAGGCAAGGTCTAGGAAAATTATGCTAATCAAGAGGCTCTTTGGAAAATGAGTCCAAATGTCTCAATTTTTCTACTTAATGGAAATGCGTCAGCCAAAAAAAGAGTTGTTTTGCTGAAAGTAAAGTCTAAAAGTTTGTCAGGACTGAAAGCCTCTTTTACTTTATATAGAAACGTTTCTTTGCGAGTCATGGGTAGGTCGCACTGTCCAAACGAGGTGCAGAGGACTGCAGAACAGCTGCTTGTTGTATCAGTTAGGTCTCAGTATTTCTCTGCAGTGACTCCCACACTGTGTGCACACTTGGATGTCCTTATATTACTGATTAGCAGCAAATTGAATGAAGCTGCGAGGATTTTAACACTAACTCGCTTTTCACCATTTCCACACTTGTGTAAATCCTCCCCCTCACCCCCTAGGACACCAGCCAGGTTCATTTCTGCTGCTACTGGCTTTTATTGTCCATGTCCCCACACCAGCACAGAGTGATAAAGCCAAGCGTGCCTTCTCAGGAAGGCCAGCCTGCAGTTCGTGAAAGCTGACACGGCACCTCGTGCAGGCACTCACAAAGGTGCACGCCACATGAGCATCAGTGCTGCGTGCCCTGGCTCGGTGCTTTAGAGCTTCAGCAGGCACAGGCTGCACCTCGCTGAAGCCTCCTCTACTGGAGGCTGCCATTTACATGTGGTGGATGTGCAAGGAAAGCCTAGAGATGCCCCTTGCTGTGCTTGTGGAAGAAGGTGGTGTTTTACCATCCTCTCTCAGCTCTTTGCACTAAAAGATGTTCTTGCAGGAAATTTGTTTTGTGGGCTAGTTCTTGGTAAACCAGATGGTACTCACGTGTTTTTATCTTTTTTCTGTATGAACTACGTGATGAATGTCACGATGTGAAGAAGATGCGCGTTGTCCCAGGCATACTCATTCCTTAAGAAGGCAGCAGGATTTAGCAGAGGCCCAAAATATAGAGGAGGTTTTATTTCCTGAAAGGCCAAAGGAAGATAAAGGAAGAGACGCCTCAGGGAGAGGAGAAGATGGATCTTTTGGTGCTTATCTTTCAGCCCACACAGCCACGTTATCACATCGGTGCCCTGAATCTGCAAACCATCAGTCAGGGCCGGACTCTGCTGCCTTTGCTGGAGGCTAAAGCCAGTGTGGATGTGTGGAAGTTCTGAACTCAGGCACCTAAAATAGGATGTTGTAAGTAAGATATTGTGGAATGGGCTGCCCAAATCAGCTTTTATTCTTGTACGTAACTTCACCGTTTTTAGAGAAAAACATTCCTCTCCTTGTCCATCATCTAATGGGGCTTGCTTACGCCGAAGAAACACCCCCGACTTCCCCAGGGAAGACTCTAGTCATGCTTCTCCCAGAACTGTACAACAAGAAGCCTCTTTTGTCTCATCTTTTATATCCACCTTACCGTAAAGTCAGCCACCCCTTGATTACTGAAATTTTTTGATCAGCTCTGACTGCGGAGCTGACGACAAGTGTCCCTGGCATCCACTACCTCTGCTCTGCTGGTGGTGTCAGCAGACATTTGATTAACTACAGAGGTTTGAGCACCAAGGGAATTCAAGGTGGGCCGTGAAGTAAATCACATCTCAGGCCCTTCGTGCCTCCTCTGCTCCACCCGCCAGTGCAGGCAGGCTGCTGGTGGAATGGCAGTTCGAGGCCTTCACTCATGCAATGATGTGTGCTGTAATTACTGCAAGGGTAATTGAGGAAAAAAGATGATCTACCCACTGCAGTACAATACAGCTTGTCACCTGCAACATGGGTGGCAAGTCCTTGTAAGGTTTGAGGACAGGAACATCTCACAAGACGCACTGTAAGGACAAGGTGCAAAAGAGGCTATAAGTTCAAATAAAACCCTGGAGATTGGCTCTCGGTACGGCGGTGGTGTGTGTGAGGCACCTTGTGCTGCTCGTCTGTTGGATACTGATGCAGTGACAGAGGGCTGAGGGCTTCTTTCTCCTTGCTCCCACCAAAAAAAGCAGAGGCTCTTGCTTAGGAATCCGTGCTTATCTGCAAGCTGTTTGCCCTCTGCAGCTCCCTGAGAATATGGTCAGCTGTTTCTCGGTAGTGTTTTCTGTTTGCATTCTTTTAAATGAAAACAGTGATTTTCAGTTGTGGACAAAAGAACTGTGCTGGCTTAGGGCATTAATTTAGGTGGATTTTACTGTATTTCTAAGGAGCATAAAGCATTATTTGGTGTCCTCCCTTTTCTCCAAATAAAAATGTATGTGCTTTCCTTTAAAAATGTATTTTGTGTGTAAGTCACATAGTGATAACATTAAATGCGATATAAAGATGGTAATAAAACTGGTTGTAACATTTATGTATTTTTCATGACCAAAGTGCTTTGCAGTTGGAGATGCTATAAATGCACGCTTGCCACTGGAGGAAGCAACACACTTACGCTGCAAAAGATGACAGCCGCATGACCCCAGGACCCGATCCCTCTGGGCACAGGAGGGGCAGGCAGCTCTCTAGGACAAAACAGGGGCTGGGGCGTCTGCCCCGACGTGCCTCGGTTACGGGAAGGTTGGGTGGCTGTTGCTGAGGAAAAGGCTGTGGTGGACAGCGTGGAAAATACTGCTGGGACAGGGAGGAGACCCCATGCAGAAGCATCCACTGATGCAGCAGAGGAGGAAGCGCCTGTCCCAGGTCTCCTCCTGTTGTGTCTCAGCTCTGCCGTTTCCCCCTCTCCTTTCAGCCGCAGAGGCCTCTCCACATGGTGGTCGTGGTGTTCAGCATCACCCAGCCTGCTCAGAAACCTTGGGTTGTCCGGGTGCACAGTGTACTCTGGGCAGAAAAGCAGGTAAAAACAGAAGGAAAAGGGAAGAACGGGGAAAATGCTGCTATTGACATTTTCCCCGGCGTTTTCTGGTGGGTTTTTTTTGTATGTCTGATCTGTTGCAACAGGATGAAGCAAATTCCAGACACGCTGACTGCCCTCTAGCCATATTTTCTAAAACAGCCACATCTCGCACAACTCCATGTCCTTTTATGGGGACTTTTTTTCCATGGGGAGCATGGCTGTTCTCCCTTCCCACCCTGCGGCCGAGGGCCCTGTGCCTTCCCTGGAGGCTGGCAGGATCTGGGAGCATGTGCCAGAGCCGGCCGACCCTGTCACCTCCGCTTATTCGTGGTGGAGCCCTGTGTAACCACGGAAGGTGAGCAAGCGATGAAGCGCTTAGTGCAGCTAATCCTGGCTGCAGCGCCCTAATGAAAGTCACACACCGGTTGTACGGAAACCGCTAGAGCATGTGAACATCACTGGTCAGCCATGGAAAAGTCTAAATTGCTCTCCATTAGCAGGCATTCAACATTTGCACAGGCACAAATCTGCAAAGTGAATTTTTTTTTTTTACATGTCCACTGACTTTTACAGAATATGCACAATGAATATTAAATAAAGGGCTGATGTGCCCTAAGTCATTGCCCATTACTGCACTTCAGACGCCATTATGTGGTGTGACTTTTAAAAACTTTTTTTTTTAAAGGTCATGCTGTTTATGCTGCATAATATATAATACAATTCAACTGTAAATTAGAAACATACTTTACAGCCTGCTGCTGTGCTTCATGGAGGTGAACAAGATTTGAAATCACAGGTCTCCTGCTCGTGGGGAAGCACTTGGGGGAAATATTTAATATCACCATAATCGGGGGCTTTATGGGCTAGTAATGAGCTATGGAGGCCTCTCTAGGACACCTTGCCGCATCTCCTGCCTGCTCTCTAACCTCTCTAGAACATTTTCCCGTTCCTGACACTGGAGACAACTGTGTTAAATTTGAGTTTACTTTACTGTTATAGGAAGTTTTGTGTAAACTGTAACATTACCTAACCCACAGCCGTTTCCTTTAGCTACAGAGGATATGCTCAGCCCTGACAGGTTTCTCTCCCAGCAGATAAGCAGAGTTGACTTCCTATACGTTGAAATGGTTGCAGGCCTGTTCAGTCTCTATACACACTAACTCTCTGGAAGGATTAAGTATTCTATTGCTTTATAATAGAGCAACTTTCAAAAATGCTGTCCTCCTCCTTTCCAGGTAAGCCACAGCATAGAAAGTGGATTTTGAGGGACATGCAGCCCGATTCCAAAATTCCCCCGTACCAGCTCTTCAGGGAGCCAGTATCAAAGGTAAGCAAATGAGTTAAAGCCGTGGATCTTTGATCCTTATTTGAAAAACTTCAGGTCGCGCGTTGCTTCAGAAGGCAGAACACACAAAAAGGAGAGCAGCCGCGGGGCACAGGACCAGCCCGCATAAAAACACCGGAAGGTATTTTGGTCTCACTTCGCTGAGGAACATGTAATAGGGTTGAAAAGATATGGGAAGACTGTTGAGAAAATACACTGACTGATGCCAGTGCGATGGAGATGCCAAGGAAAGGAATTAAGCAAATAAACAGGGTTTCAGAGAGGTGTTAAGAGCTGCAGGAACAGTAACACAAACAGGAAACTGAGAAGTGGATTTCTTCCATCTAAGGGTAGAAGTCGTAAGCCTCGCATGAAGTCAAAGTTACTCGCTTTTTGAGAAATACGAAAAATAATATAATTTCACATTCACAAAGTCTCTTACCAGAGACTGATATATTCTGAGAATGGTATTTGGATCAAAGGGGCAGGCCAGGCTGCAAATGGAGGACAGCGTTATTAAGTAAGCACTTGCTATCGAACAGGTCTGCAGGGCAACAGCTGCTGCTCGGACGGCGCAGGCACGGGGACGCTGGGTGTCGCAGAAGCCGAGGGGCAGCACTGGGCAGTGTCTCTGAAGCCAGTCACATCCAGTCATAACGAACTTTACTGCACGGGTAGACCTAAACGGAAGTGCCGTCCGAATATATCCTTCTTGGAATATATTCCTGGTCCCTGTATCAGGTATACAATTTGCCAGAACACTCGTGCATTTTTACTGAGTTAGCAGAAGGCAATGTTGGTGTTTGCAGGGCTGATTTTTTATTATAAAGCCATTTTTTGTGTTTAAATATACTATCAACATGGTCTGTAACATGTTAAAAATACCTTGGAAAAAGCAGAAGAAAAACATTTCACACACAGGCACAAATTAGAGAATTAAACCAACTCTGTTTCTTCAATTTCTGTGCTAAAAGAGATGGATAACAAATTATTTTCAACTGTCAACCAATGAAAAGAAGCTTGATCAAAATTTCAGAAGGATAAAATATTCTATAGGTGAAAACTATGATATTTCTGTAATGAAGTTCTTGGTCAACACATCTTAAGGTGTATTTAACCTGACAGATGACTGAGAATGCCTCTAGTTATTTGGTGCATGTTAATTTCATGCAAATATTCTATTTTCCACTGAACGTTGTCAAAATACAGGACAAAATCTCTAAAGGTAAGCAATCAAGAACACCCCCCCCCATACCACTATGGACTACCAGGGTGAGCATCACCTCAAAAGCATAAGACAAGAACAGCCACAAAGTTCTCATTTCTACTGTACAGGAACACCATTTACGCAGTCCACCCAATGATCTTATACATCAGCGCCCTCAAAAGCCTGGCTTCGTAGGTAACTGTATTTTTCCCACTGTGCATCCTCTTCTCTTCAAGGGGTTGCTCAATGACAGCTGGGATGTTTCTTCCATACAGCTCACATTGCTTCAGAAACTGAACGCACTCTTGAATAACGCCGTCACGTAGCATGATCATGTGCTTGGACATGTTCTCCAGCAAGGACAGGAAACACCGTTTGGCATAATACCATGTATCGGTGCTCAGTTTTTTGTTATATGGCTCCAGGCTTTTAATGACCCTTGAAATACCGAAGTCGTAGTTTCCCTTCACACAGTAAAGGGTACCAATGACTAGATTGACAATGCAGAGGTGGTAGATATTTTTATCAGGATTATTATAGGACAGCTGCTCTTCTCCCTTCTCGATCTTCCTCATCAGCTCCTCTGCGTCTTCATTCTGGCTCGTCAGGATGTAGGAAACGCAGAGGTTAGCTAACACAATGGCACTGACGTGGAGAATATTGTCATAGTGCTTTTTAACTATTGGCTCATAGAAGCTAATAGCCTCCTTATACTTGTTCTCTTGCATGAAGAGCACGTGAGCCACATTGAGCTTCCACACCTCGTGTTCGTTACAGAACTCCACTGATTTGCGGAAAATCTTTTCTACCATTGTGTAGTTCTTCATGTCCCAGTAGATCTTTGCCTGGGCCATCAAGACAGGTACGTATTTATCCAGAGTCTCATCATACTCATTAACTGCCTTTTTCACAGCTTCATCGTCCCAATTTTGCCTAGCTTCCTGTACCTGCTTCGTGAGTTTTCTCAGCTGCTCAGTCAGTGTCCCTGCTGAATCATCAAGCTTGTGGAAAGCCTCCTCAGGGGCAGTTTGACAAGTAATAATGGCATCCAAGAAGTTGTACAAGTAAGGTGTGAGCAGTTTGTAGGTCAGATGGGCATTCTCTGCCAGCACATCAGCTGCCAGGTCGTAGTACTGATGCTTGCAGTAGAGGAGTAGCAAGTTTCCAAAAGTTTCTGGCGGACAGGGGTTCTGCAGCAGAAGAAACTGCAGCTTCTCAAACCCTTCAGTGGGCTGGTTGTCCATGTTCATTAGTGCTTGATTGTGCAGCGTGACTGGATCCAACTCCTCTTCAGCCCTCGGCGGCATATCTGTGAGCGCCTCCTGGGCCGCTTTCAGGTTGCGCAGTTGGTACTCAATGGCCGCCTTGAGGTTGAAGGCCTCCACCAGGGCCGTGCGGTGCAGGAGCAGAGTGTTGCCTACGCTGCGGACATCAATGCCCTCAGTGGTCATGCCCACGCTGAGCTCTGGGTGCTGGTGGATGCCGCGCTCTATGATATCGGAGATGTGTTTGAGGGCAGGGGCATACTGCTTGGCCGCATAACAGCACAGCGCCATGTTGTAGGACAGCTCAGGGCAGTAACCCAACACTTGCATGCATACTGCTTGGCCGCATAACAGCACAGCGCCATGTTGTAGGAAAGCTCAGGGCAGTAACCCAACAATTGCATGGCACAGGGGAGAGTGCAGGTTGTCCGGTGTCCCTCTGTGGCCTCCCCTGCCGGTACAGCAGGCAGCCCAGGATGATCTCGGCGTCAGCCCGCTCTGAGGGGTCCTCGGCTGCTCCGGGGCCGCCACCCGCAGCGGGGGGGGGCGCCGCCCCCACCCGGCTCCTGGCGCG